CTGTTGTATCGCCCGGCTGCCTGGTCGTAGCGGCTCAGTAAAGATGGCGGGCCGCTAGGTGTAAACATTTGCCCGCTATTTAAGCTTCGATTTTCCAAGGATAAAGACAATGTCAAGCCATGGTGTGTTTTCTATGGAAAGTATAATAATCACCTTTCATGTGTGGGGTAAAATCTTTGCACATGTCGCACTCTAGGATGAATGATTTGACAGTTCTGAAGGCTATGTGCTGGATACGTTCTCTCGTCAACCTCTGCGAAAAGCGTCAAATTCAAACAAATATTTCAATCGCTAGCAGTTTGAGCAATAAACTTCGACAAACTTTCCGACTTTGTTATTTTTTACATAAAGTCTTGCTCCATAACTAATTGTTCTTATTATGTGGATTCACCCATGCATAACAGAATTATAATAATCTTTAAAACTATGCCGGACTTTGGACCCCTGCCGGACTTTGGACCCCTCCCGTTACTCTAGTCTTCAAAGGCCTACATGACCCTTCATATACACAAAATGGATAACCAAGGGTATAGACCAGAAAGGTGGGGGTGGGGCCTGTGGGCATTGGTGCCATTTCCTGTCACGGTAATTAAAGCCTGGATGCCTGAGTAATATGGTGTGACCGGCTGTTGTCAGGGGAAGGAGATCATACATTGCTAGAGTATGGGGAGCCCAGAATGATAAATGATGATTAATGGTCAACACATCAGTGCGGCATCAATGCCCAATTGCCCAGGGAAGTGGATCAATGCAGCATCAATGCTCAAAGTGCCAGATATGTGCAGCACCAATGCTGCACCTGTGCAGCACTAAATACCTCTTTCGTGTGGGGGGCCGCTGCCGCCCCGGCACGACTCTCATCTTTGAACTAAATCTTGGAGACCATCACAGTAAAATGCCTATCAAATTTCATTAACTTCCATCCACACATACAAAAGTTATCCTGCTCACAAGAAAAATTAACAAAATGCCCCCTGTAGTCACAACGAAACCCCCCACGAAGCTCAGTAACGAACTTAACCTTGGTCCCGTCAATAGTAAGCACCACACCAAGAATTATAATCAACATTTTACAAATACTTGAGTTATCTTGCTAACAAGCCACAAACACAAAAGGTGCACTAACGTGACGCACGGACCCCCCACGAAGCCGAAACTTGTACTTGACTTCGGCCTCAACAGCGGTAATCTGCCTGCCAAAAATCATGGACGTCGAATCATGCCTTCCAGAGTTATATCGCAAAATCCGCAGTTCCCCACACTCCGGCGAGACAATTTCATAGTCCTTCTGACGAAGACAATTACGAGGCATTGTTCTTAAAAAGCAGTGCCTTTATACATGTAACAGAGCTAAGAAAACAGGACAAGAGGAAGGCTACTGAACAAATGAGAGTTAAGAAGGGAGTTCAGAAAAGCATAAGACATGCACATTTTCTAAATATGTGGCACACATGCATACAGGGAGAAACCCAAACATTCTGGTTGTACATTAGGCTCCATACATAAAAGGACTGACAAAAGACCTTGTCGGGGTAGCACCCATAAAGATGGGGAATACCATTATCAGTGTCAGTGGGAAAAAAAGCAGAAGCCCTCAGTCAGCTAACAATTCGAAAGCATTTTCACAGAAGAGGACAACAGACATGCCATGTCTGGGCCAGCCCTGTACACCTCCCATAATTTGAACATATGGAAGTTTCTATTGATGGTGTGGAAAAAATTCTTCGAGATCCCAATCCCTCTAAAGCATCCGATCCAGACCATTAATACCACCTTGACTCCTCAAAATGACAGCTATTGAAACCGCACCTGCGTTAACCAATAATTTTCAACACTCATTGAATACTGGAGTGATACCAAAAGATTGGCATGGAGGGGGGCCTGCATGCGTAGAGCATAGACAACCACTCTCACTAATTCAATGTAGAGCGTAATCGAAATATTTTGCGTTGAGCGTAATTGCACTTTTTCATTCGACGTTATGCGTTGTACAGCTATCTGGAATTTACCGTAAAACGTAATTGACGAATTTTACGTATAGAGCAATCACAGTTGCCCAACCCTTGCCCCGAGTGCTTTTGCTGCGTAGGAAGCCACGTTTTAGGCCGCCACTACCTGCAAAATGCACCACCAAAATGCAGGAGCTGGCATTTCGGCGGGTCAAGATTTCAAAATTTTCCTGGGCAGCATTATGCTTCCGGATTCCTCCTTGTGCAAAATTAGATATATATTAAATAGCATGTGAAAGAAGTGCAATAAGTTCGTGGACACAATGTACTCGAATATCACGTACTTAGCTAGAAAGTACTTAAACTTAGCTTTGTGTACCAGCAAAAGTGTCCCCCTAAAATTCAAGATTTCCTCCCTCGCAACGAATGCGGAAGTAACTATGCCACTGCAGGGCAAAAAAATTTGGGGGTCTATGATCTAATTTAAAGACATGAAAATATTGAAAAATATTGTGCCAGGAATGCCAGCAGGACAAACAAACGATGTTGCTTGAATGGCGTTGATACATGTATTTACATGATAAAATGTCAAAATATCATATATCTAGAGTACAACAACTATAAACAGTACAGTAGGTGTACAACCCAGATACATGTATTTACAAGGTCCATTACATTGTGCCAGACTATCTGCATGACGTGTGGTCTGGTTAAAGAGTCTGATTGACTGGTGAAGGAAAGATTTCTCTTTTTGTTCTGGCGGGGGGGGATAGAGATTAGCAAAAGTTGACTTCACAAATCTAAAAAGTTCCACAAAGTCCCACATGGCAGACTCATCTCAAAATTGAAGTATGGAACAACACTAAACTGGTAAAAAGCTTAGTCTGACTGTGGTGGAAGGGAAAGCTTTCAAATTGGCTCCAGTTAGCATCGGGAGTTCCACAAGGAACTGTCCTGGGACCATTACTTATCCTCTTGACTATATTAATGACCTACCAGATCAGCTTGATTCAAAGGTGAGATTATTTGCTGATGACTGTCTGTTATAAATGTATGTAGAGCTACATGATTGTATATGGTATGCAGAATGACTCACAACTTCTACAAAAAGATCTGAACACCCTCTAAGAATGGCCTGCTTTAATACACATGCCAGTTTAACCCAGAAAAATTCAGATCTACATTATGCACATAACAAAGGACCTCCACATGTAGCTACATTGTAGCTACCAGTTCTGTGGTCAAGCTTTGGCAACAACAAAAACCCACCCGTATTTTGAAGTTACATTTGGCAAGTAGAAAATTTTGTCTGTTAGACATTTTATAGACATTTTTGGCTCTACCAGTTAAGAAAAAACTCTTTTGACAGTCAAGCATTGAACATTGTTCTGACAAACCTTCATGATGATCATATTCTTGGGACGTTTCTTGCCCTTGACATGACCTGCCTGAAGGTGACACATGAACCTGATGAGCCAGGTCTTCCCACAGCCCGTCTCTCCCATGATGATGACAGGGATGTTACACCTGGTAGGGTGCATGATAAAAAGCCTGACTGTGCATAACTGCGAAATCATCCATTGCAAATTTTTTTTCTGTGCACATGCACTTTTATATTATAAGAGTATTGTAATGGGTATGAACTTGAATTTTTGATACTAGTAGTAACTACTTATTCAGCTCTCAATTGTAATTTCTGGGCACTACATGATGATACTGGGAACATACATGTATTAGGCTCAATTATTGAAGGTGATAATTGCAAAATCACAAGAAAACAACCTACACACCTGAATTCTACTTTTCAAATTTTGTGCTAATATGAGAAATATCAATAAACAATCATATACATGTATAGTTGACATTCAAGTACATGTACATAGTGTGAATCATGATAGTTAAACTTCAACTCTTGAACATTCCTTTTGAATTTTTTGTCACACAGACTTTCCTGCAGCATCTGCAGAAATGCTTGCGCTAGGAAGAATTTTTCCTGCAGAAACTTCTGCAGGAAGAATATTCCTGAAGCAAACTCTAACCTCATTTCAAATATTTCACTAACCTGAACCTCATCTGTATGGCCAGGATCTTCTTGATATTGTCTGTTGTTAGTTCGTAGGATGGGTCAGGATCATATATGTTGGACGGGTGAATGCCCATCACAAAGCACAACGTCTTAATTTTTTCATTTCTGGAACAAAATTGTCAGTACTTCTGTTAACACATTATGAAATCCAGCATCAGCCACAACATATTGCACACGTTACAGCAACTTTGCATGATTATACATTGATGATTGTTTGGTCTAGTTTGTTATCTACAGGAAAATGTAGGTATTGTTTTTGGTCTGTGTGTGTGTATCTCTGTGTGTGTGTGTGCGTGCCCATGTGTGTGTGTGTGTGTGTTTGTGTGTCTGCATTCTAAATGCAATTTCACTGTTAACAGTTACTGTTACAGTAGTAGCATCATCATAAACATTTTGGCATTGTCAAAAAGAAAATTAAAATAATGCCAACAGTGTCAATTCAAACTGGCAAATTAAGCTTGCCAAGACATGCAAGATGAAACTACTATTATATATAAATATAATACAAAAGTGCAAAAATACAAAAGTACCAATTTAATTATTAACTGGTTGACATTCCTGAGTAAGAACAATTAATTTTTGAATGTTAAAAGCAAAACAAGGGATGTTAAAAAAGAAAATTAAAACGAAGTGCCGACACTGGGATTCGATCCCACGATGTCTGGGGTTAGAGGACCTGCCGACAGAAACACAACACAACCAACTGAGCTATTGATGTTTACGTTGCTCATCCAGGGCTTCTGAAATGCCTTAAATGCATGAACAAAATAATATGGAACATTTCAACAAACATGTATGTACCAGTGAAACCGGGCAATAAAAGGATATATATTTGGATCATATTCATGTTATTCCTTATTGCTCACAGGCCTTGATTTTTGTCATTGTACACCTCAAAGTGTAGCCATGTCAATAACTGACCGTAAAAAATTGTGTGAAACTAAAGACAACAACATCATTACCTTCGCCAAGAAGGTTATGTTTTCAGTAGCGTTTGTCTGTGTGTGTGTATGTATGTATGTGGGTTTGTGTGTGTGTGGTTTAGCAAGATAACTCGAGAAGCGGTGGATAGATTGGAATGAAACTTGGTAGGTGGGTAGGTCTTCATGAGACCTAGAAATGATTAGATTTTGGGCCCCCTGGCGGCTTACCTAGGTACTGCAGCAGAACTTCCGGTTTTGATATCTCGTGATCTGGACATGCTAGGGTCACGAATTTTGAAGGGCAGATAGCTCTTGGGATAGGGAAGAAGTGACATGAGTTTGGGTCCCCTAGCGGCTTGTTCTGGGACTGCAGGAGCATTTGTTGAAAAATTTTCGAAGGAGGATAACTCAAGAACCGGTTGACGGATTGTCGTGATTTTTGGTATGTAGGTAGTTGAAGTGATGCTTGACATGATCAAACAACAATTATGCAAATCAGGGGCTAATTTGCATAATTAATGAGGAAATTCTATAAATCTTCTTTATTCGATAATAGAACTATGAAACACTTGTGACATCACTTGTGAGAACGAGAAAAAACATCTGGGGATATAGATTATGTAAATGAGGACCTAATTTGCATAATGAATGGTAAATTTGTATAATTTCATAGTTGTGACTGTTGGGAATTTCATACTTGCCACATTTGGAAGTTAAGTGAAGGTGAACATCAACAAACATAATTTATTCAAATCATGACCTCATTTGCATAATTTATGAGGAAGTGCTATAATAGCATTTTTGTTAAGATGAGGCTGTCATTGGGTGGAGAATATGATCAGCTGATATAATCCATGCAAATGGGGCTCTTATTTACAAAATCAATGATTAAAATTGTATACTTTGTCAACCACAAGGGTTAACATCATTTGGCGAAGGTATGAGATCGTGG